AATTTCATCATCTGCAGAATCACTAGCTTTTCTTTAATTTAAAATCTGCTTGCAGCATTGCACTTATTGCTAATTGCACTGTCTAGCTATGCAATAATATTTACTTTTTGATGAGCACTTTCTTCTCTATTGTCTCCGAAAACAATGGAGTGGCAGTATTGTGTATCTTCCAAATTAATTGACCTACAATGAAAATTTTGCATATTTGAAATCAGCAGGAGAAACTACAGAAGCATATATATTTTTATCATGTTTGGTCCACAAATACAGAAAATATCTTCACACACCGTGTCCCCCCTTAACAGTTGAGTGTAGCACAATCAACTTTTCAAAAGGCTTTTATCTTTACTGTGTACCTGTGTTAAATGCCGGTCAGCTGCGGGAACTATGGAAATCGCAAAAAGGTGGAAAAAAAAAGAGACTGAATGGAACAAAATTGCCCGAGCTCGGACCTCATGCTCGTTTTTTTTTTATTTTATTTGAAACCACGATTTAATTTTATATAAATACAAATACAACCCATTATAAAAATATGCATTGGCCACCATGGCCTGATATCAGTCACCCCTTGCGATTTTTCTGAATTTATGCCACTGGGTAGCATACTAGGATACAGCTTGCTGTTCGTTTCACTTAGGCTCACGGGATGGTCCCATGCATCAACTTCATTGTTTTTAGTTTGCCAACACCATTTTGGAGCAGGTTTGGAGCAGTTAGCAAATATTGCACTTTAGAGCAGCATGGAGCAGCTTGGAGCAACTGCAGCAGCACTTCCATCACTGATGTACAGTACCTCTAACTACTGTCCTTACTATCTTTTGGGATCACTGGAAGTAGACTCCGATTATTCTGACGAATGAAACTACTCTGTGCCTCGTTCCCCTCATCATTTGAAGGATTTTATTATTGGCTTTGATGGCCGGGGCATCACAATAAAGTTCTTCATCGCCACTGATGCGTTTTATACTGTTAATACACAACTGTTCTCTAACTTTATTTTCACGTAAGAGTAGAATGTAAAATACGGCAACTCAGCATACAACCTATCCTGGTGAGCAGCGTAGTCTGTGCACAAAATGTCCCAGAAATGTCCTGATGGGTAGCCCACTTGGTATGCAAACTGTCCCAAAAATGTTCTAATGGGTAGCACAGTTGGTATGCAAAATGTCCTTGTGGACCAATTTGATTATGCTTCAGTCCCCTCTAAATCCTGAAATAGTGCCAGAAACGCTTTGGAACCATTTGTGGATCTTCAGAAAACAAGCTGAGGACAGACAATAGGATCTTTCTTGGACTCCATCCGGAATAGTTTAACATGTTCTCGGGACCTTCCTTACAAAAACGTTTTAAAAATGCACTGCAGATATGTTTCTGTAGTCTGGGTAGGGAATTGTATGAAATTCGCGCAATTGCTGCAGCTGTTGCACCCATGACAAATGCAGTTGTGTCGACACGATCATCAGTGACCACTACAGTTTGCGTGCATCCGACACGCTACGACCCAAACCTGTGCCCCGCCGCGGTGGTCTAGTGGCTAAGGTACTCGGCTGCTGACCCGCAGGGCGCGGGTTCGAATCCCGGCTGCGGCGGCTGCATTTCCGATGGAGGCGGAAATGTTGTAGGCCCGTGTGCTCAGATTTGGGTGCTTGTTAAAGAACCCCAGGTGGTCTAAATTTCCGGAGTCCTCCACTACGGCGTCTCTCATAATCATATAGTGGTTTTGGGACGTTAAACCCCACATATCAATCAACGACCCAAACCTGTGGTGCTTGCCACAACACTGTAGACGAAACCGCCCTGATGCAATCACAAATATCAATAATGCACTTCTGAAGGCATGCGCACAGCCAGTGTACGCAGACTGAAAACGAAACTACCATTCGCCGCTAACATTGCGCAGAAAACAACATCCCTATCGTCAAGATCATCATTAGCAAATGAGCTGGTACACAGCTAACACAATGGAAGATTAAAGGTAAAAGCCGTAGAACAACACGGGGTGTTACAATGACGGTAGTAGGGAAGAACCAACATTTAGTTTTCAGTTGGTCTCTGGCAAAGCTTTGCCACGCTTCTTCGGCACGTTCCAAAGAAAACTTGAATATCGTATTTTCTCATGTATAACCCACCCCTACATACCGCGTTTATTCTTGTCATGAAACCACCTTTTTTTCAGAAAAGTTGATGCGAATTTGGGGGAAGGGTTCATGACACTTGCAAAAAAAAGTCACAGGGAGTTAGAACAGCGAAAATTTCGCACGATTGTTTCGGCCTACGAGATGCAGGACAAATCTGTTTTGTAGCGCCAAGTTCTTCCTGTTTTCTTTCATAACGAACGCGCACGGATTGATGCCGAAGTGTCGTCCAGCCACTCAATTCCCATGCTCCAGTGCATTCAGCTGTGTACCTAGCGTACCAGCTGAACGCGTCTTATACGGCAGGTGTCCAACTGAATTGACTATGACAAATCTGACACCAAAAAGGCAGCGTTGGATGGTGGTACACAAATGCTGCGGGTGCACAACGTGCCGCCAGCACTGCGCGCCTTGCATGGCCTTTGAGATGGAGGGCGCGTGGCGTAAAAACACGCCACAAGCCCGTCATCTTGCAGGCCATACACTTTGTTGCTTCGTTTTCGTGCCGCTGTGCTTGCGTGGCGCTATAAGCAAAAAGGTTTCTCTTGCATTCGACATATGGTGCTCTACTGCGAAAGGCACGACTTTTAAATTTTGATTGACATTGGCCGCGCTCGCGCTGTTCGCAACTGTTTAGCATGGTTACCTAACTATGTTTTGACTTCTATTGCATCATTATTTTTTTATATAACAGCTTGGTTTAATGTTTCAATCATCAACGGCACTGGCTATCACATCAAAATAAAATGAACAGATACATTAAATTTTTTTTTCTTCTTTCAAGGACTAAGAAAAAACACCGCTAGGAGGCCGCGGTGTGTATACATCCCTCACATATGCTCCTGCTGGTTTGCCTAATTCATGTGTTCAGCCATGCCATAACCCAGTGATTCAGTGCCACCAACTCGGCAAGTCAAACACGCATCAGCGGCATTGCCTGGACACTTGTGAGTAAAGCTGTGCACCGCCGCCATACAATAATTTGCGGCGCAACGCCGTTTGTCTTATTTTTACCCGAAGCGGGGAATCTGGGCATAATTAAAATACATTACTTCACCTTCTTTTTGCAGCTTCAAGTATTCTGAGAGCGGCATTTGCGGTGTCGTGACTGCTCTTTTGTTTCCGTGTTTGCATGCGCTGTCTATCTCTCATCTAAACCATCTCATCATATCTACCATTATATTAATAGCCTTTATATCACACACAACCCCATATAATATCGCGACTGGGATCTTTAAGATAATAAAATGAATGAATGAATGAGTAAATGAATGCAAGGGCTTTAAAACAGCTCCTGAAGATACACAGTGGTGTTTTTCTTTCTTGGCATTTCTCGTTCTTTTTTGGCGCCCTCGTGCTGCCAGAACAGTGATTGACGTGACATGATTAGAAAAAATACTTTACAATGGTCCATATACGAGAAATATGAGTTGTAAATTGTTTTCTATCCTGCTTTGCCATGCATTCGCCATCTGCCACCCCGTTCTGCCTCGCGTCTCACACATGCTCCATGAACTTGTGATTTCCCTGCATTTTGGGGAATTTCGATTACGCAAGTGAAAATAAGCAGAGTGTTGCCAAGAAGTTTGAAATCCTGACAGGCTGAACGCTTAGCGCTCACATTGCACACGTGCTTAATGAAGACATAAATCTCGAAGAGCTTGTAAGAATTTCAGTAAAGAGAGTGCAGCACAATGTAATTGAGAACAAAACCAAAGGAAAAGGCTCCGAATTATTTAATTCTCCTGACGGACGAATTCATTATAGCAAAGACAACAGAGCTCTTCATAACAAAGGCCAGCCCGCTTCGGCGGTATTTGTATGTTTTTGATTGTGAGATTAATTTATAGACACTCTCTACAGGCTTTTATCATCCCTGTCATGTTCTGTATAAAGTCCAAATGAATTACTTTTGTAGGCACACTGTATGCTGTCCATGATAAATGTGTACCACGATCTGCTACTTAGCAAAAACTTAAACAGTTTTTTTTTTTTTTTTGAAAAGTCGTACAGTCACAGGAAGCCCATCGTATACTGGCTAGTTGCGTGCAGCGCTTCGCCTACTTGGTGTACACACCGTGCCGAACTGCTTGCATCGACTTCGTTTCAGACCGTGCACGGACACGACGAGAAGCCTGTTGTGTTCATGCGACGATGCCAGCTTTCGACAAGCGATGCGCTGTCGGTCATGGCAGCGGACGGAGCCATGTTAGGACTGCCACCTCATGAAGGCGTGTGCTAGCTTGCTGTCTCTGTGCCTGCGATTCACAACTTTCAATTTTGAAACGAACTTCTTTAACTTCTTTAAAGCGGTGCACGCTGAATGCAATCCTGCACAACAATTGAGGCAGCAGCGATCGGCGCCTCAGTGCTGCTAAATAGTCGCCGGCTATTAAAACGTGTAGTAGGCTTAAGGCGGTGCTACGTCAGACACGTAGGATTTTTGTCGGCAATAAATCATACTGGCGTGCCTTTTGTTAGTTGCCACATCACCTTCAATTTTTGTTAATGGTTATCAAAAAAAGCATGACTGCAATCACGTGGAAGTCACAATAATTGATCAGCCGATTCTGTTATTTTGCAGCAGCGCAACTAGTACCCAAATGCTGCAGCACACGTGTAAAGGAAGGCGACCATCACGTAATAACCGCTCACGTTGCATGCTATCAAGTTTACTTTCGATTCCAAAAGCACCTAGCGGTGCAGCAACGGCACAAATCAGACAAAAAAGACCCTTTTGGAGCAGTATGGCTCAGTATTTTCTAATAAGCGCAGGTTTCCCACCACTGCTATTTTGCCACTGTTTGCGTTTGATTTGACACCAGTACTCAAAGAGCAGACAACATAATTGGGAAATGCAGTCACCATTTTCGCAGTCATCGTCATCTTCCTCCTCCTCATCAGATTCTTCTTCCTCCTGGGCACGGTCTGCATGTAAACAATAGCAGGAATAAGATGAACCACCCAACCAAATCGGAAACATATGCTGGCAACACATTAAACAAGCTTCGCTGCACACTCATGCGCATTGTCACCCCCCAATAATCAGCGATGTCCAAACAACAAACAGACAAATTTTCTGGATCTAGTGGGGACCCCACCTACTGAAGTCGGTCCCTGATGATAGATGCTTTGAATTGCCAATTTTGGCATGCTGGATCTGCTTTGCACCCTTTAGTAGTAAGTCCAGAAAATCGGAAGCAAACGGAAGACTACCTGAGCACACAACATAGCACGTTGATCTGTGACAGTGCAGCAGTTACAAAATGTTGCTAAAGCAAGCTCCAGGCATGGCCAAGAAACGCGACATGGGTGAGCATAACCACTTGCACATAGCAGACCAAGAATAGCACAGCAGCAAGCCATTGTGCAACTAGTGTGAACGAAGAAGCGACTGTGGATTACAAAACGAGAGAGAGAGAGTGAAAAAAGAAGAGCAGTCTGGTAAAGTAGCTAGTCTGGTGCATGCAACTGCTTCCATCACCTTGACATGTTTGTAAAGATTGGCACCCACGATTGCTGCGGTACATTACGCAATAAAAACGTAAAGCAGACCTGCACTCTTGAGCATGCCGACCTTGCATTGTTTCACTGTCGAGAAATGCAAGAAGCTTTGAATCCTATGGGCATCCACCAGGGACAAGAAAATATTTTGTTGTAGTGACAATATTACTCATGTGTGATTTCTTTATTGCAGGTTCTGACTGTATTACTTTGGCTCAACAGCTTGAAATTTCACCTTTTCACCATCAACTAACTGCTGCTGTAATTTAACATATAGCAGACTTTCGACAAAACAAATCTTTCTGATTGGATTATCATCGTAACAACAATAGATTATATAGGTAAGGAGTAGAAATAAAGATAGCATGTTGATGCACACCGAAATGCTTAGAACATAAGCACCGCAGTTGTAGAAATCAGAACGATAGAATGCACTCACAGGCATAGGCCCTCTTGAGGCCATCAAACAGCACCAGCAATGAGGGAACCACCTGAGGTGCCACCTCTACAAGTGCCTGCGGTCGTGACTGCTGGCTGATCAGTGTGCACAGCCCCAGCACGCACATCTTGCGGTCATGCAGCCTGAAAAAAGCAAAAGTAAGGAATAGATCTAGTGAAGACAACAGAGACAGAGAAAATCACTCAACTACATTATCCGGTAATTGTCGGAAAATGGACAAAAAGTACATGAAAAACTTGCAGTCCCTGGGTACAACTTTTCAATAACTCATCTAAGGACATGCCACTTCAATTCCTTCATGCTGTCATAATTACTGGAGTACAGTTAAAAAAACCTAAGCAGCATCCCCAATGCGTTCCTTGGCTCTATAGTATGTGGGTGTAGTTAGGTTACCTCTGCAGAATATTAGCGTTGCACAAGCTGTGTTTGCTAAATCTGGTCTGCGTGTGGAAAAGTTCCAAAAAATGCAAATGATTCTTACAAAGGGATGAACAGCAAAACCAACAGGCTTGAAACAAATCTTTTCTGGTTTGAAGGCAGTAATGGCAATACACTGTCCACAATCGAACAATACTTGGCTAATCGTGTTGTTTATACTCGCCCCATGAAGTACTCAATGTTGCCCAGCCACATCTTGACAAAGTAGTCCAGTAGGTTTTCCTGTGTGTCTGGCCTCTGGATCTTGCTTAGCGTCTCAAAGAGAAGCACGGGGTTGTAGTAGAGGGCCGCTATGACAACCTGCAACCATTATGGAAACAATCCTATTGGTTAACCATCCAAAAAGCAGTGACTGCTACAAATCTATCATGTACTAGTAAACACATCACTAGCTCGAATGTGACAGGAGAGTGAAAATATTCGTATCCCCCAAAAAACTAGGAAATTCTATTTTCAAACCACTAATAAACACACAAAACATTTATTGCCATGAAAAAAAAATGTGCGTGTCCTTCTGGGACATGAAACAGATCAAAAGGGACAGCACAGCTGGCTACCATGAACAAGCGCATCAAAGCTTTACTTGAGGATAACTGAGTGACTAGACAAGAGCATAGCACAAGAAGTGATGTATTAAACATTTTTAAGTATTCTGGCCATGGGCTACAGTTCACCTCCGAGCTGTTTAAAAAAGGAGAGCTTCAGTTACTAGACATTACACTGTGCTTTCATGGGGAACATTTGTGTTGGCTGTGCAAGACCCGATCTGTAAAGAGTACCTTGTCGTTTACCTCCGGCCATTTGAAGATGGTCAAGTATGGCATTAGCTATTTATGCATTACCTATTTATGCTGCACCAGTAAACGTGCACACAAGTGATAAAAGAAAGAAAGACGTAAAGGATGAGCGTAGGAGAACAGAGCACCGACACAATGAAAAGAGACCTGTAGCTGTCCCCGATATGCATAAGTTTTCCCATTGCATGAAGAATGCGGCCAGTAGGTAAGGGGTACGTGTTGTGATGTCACCTCCGAAAAAGATGTCCGCAATTTGCTCCCACTTGCATAGAAGTTCAAGTTCACGGAAGACCTGCTCGTTCTGTCCACAAAGAGAAAGGATAGATATATTGAATGCAGATCATGTGCCGTTTCTAAGCTGCCATTATCCCTTGAGGGGTGGGTATTTAGGACCAACAGGGCGGTGCGTCAATATAAACTAAGAAAAAAAACTTATCTTCAATAACGAGTACCTTACAGTTTGCACTTGCCAGCTAATTGCAGAGAGTGTAGCTGCCAGCTGATGGGAGAGGAAAGCACTTTTTTGTTTGGACCATCAGGACAAATGCACTAAGGAGGTGATGAAGGCCTTCTACATTAAAAGAGAGAGGCCAAGGTGCGTGAGTAAACCGCCCTTGGTAAAAAGGAGGTTCGATACGTGTGTTTAGCGCTGCCATCTTATAGGGATTATTAGTTCTTTATGGACTGTTACGGGTGTTTTTGGCCAGTAGAAGGCTTGTTCTTTTTTTCTCCGGTGTTTACATGCGTGTTGTTTTTCACCATGATTAGGTCTTTTTTGTAGCATGTTTGCTCTGCCGTGCAGACACCATGGTGTGCCACGTGACTAGGTCGGCGGCTTTATGTATGAGCGTGTGCTTTCCAATAAATTTTATGTTGAGAGTTCAGTGCTCTATCGTCTCTTCTTCAGTCCTTGTTTCTATTTTTGTGCTGTTTGTACAATGATTGATTGATTTGTGGGGTTTAATGTCCCAAAAACACCATATGATTATGAGAGAGGCCGTAGTAGAGGGCTCTGGAAATTTTGACCAGCTGGGTAACGCTCAAATCTGAGCACACAAGCCTACAGCATTTTCGTCTCCATTGAAAATGCAGCCGCCACAACAGAGTACCTTAGCCACTAGACCACTGTGGTGGGGCACTGTTTGTACATTCCAAGCATTCATACAGTCAGCGTACGATTGACAGTGGCCCCTTACGATTTTCTATATGCTTCCCCCCATCACACTCGTATTGCGGCAAAGCTGCTTTCAGGCTCTGTTGCAGTAGAAAAGTTATTGACTAGAGCTGTGCGAACAACAAAATTTAGGGTGCAAAGCGAGTTCAAATATTGAAGGTCGACAGAAGCAGCAGAACATGGATTAGGAAGGCTGTGACGTGGGCGTCCCAGGAGGCGGCCGGAAACATCGACCCGGTTTGCGCAACCTCAGGATGTGACCACCTTTGACGCCCTTCGAAGCAAGTCGACGACAAAAGTCATTGTATCGAGTATCGCCAACGCTGCTAGGCCTCGCCACATCAGTAAGGAACTCACGCAATGACGATGATGGGTGACTTGGCAGCAGCAGGGACGGCGACATTCTAGAAAGTTGAGAGCTCCGACAGGGACACAGCCAACTGATGCTGGACATTGACGAGTAGCTAATCAGCTGAGTCAAGTAATGTCAATGCGAATAATGAGGCTAAAGGTGCCCGACTCTAACTAGGACAATTAGGTTAGTAGTGATTTGTGTGTTGTTTGGATTTGGGCTGGAGTTATTTATCTTACCCATTTGTATATTCTAAAGTGCCGTGCATGTGCACGTACCCACATCTTGTCTCAGTTCATCAGATGTAGAATCACTGACAATTCGCGAGCCTGCCAGGATTTACTCCTGGCCGGTCACCGGTTCTCGCGTGTTGCAAAAATGGATTGGGACACGATAGCTGCTATCCAGGAACAAAGGCTCAGCAAAGAGTAGGGCTCAAATTTCATATAAAAAAAAAAAGCCCGTGTCAAAAAAAAAAAAAAAAAAAAAAAGGAGATTGCAGTCTATGAGAGTTAGAGGTGGAATGTGCCAAACTCAGGGCAATGTGTAGTGAAGAGCTGGAAAAGTATGCTCTAAAAAAGTGGGTCTGATTATCGGCATCACGTTTCATCTGAGAAAAGCGGCAGTGAGCATGGTAGTTGTGCAAGTGAGACCAGGCTCCCAAGCAATGAGAAACACAAAAATGGCCCAGTTGTTACAAGTACTGGTACTAAAGTAAGGGATACTGAATTGCATGCCAGTTTTATTGAAGAGGGCACGGGGCAAGACAATGTGACGCCTCGAGACAACAAAGATGCAGGGTGCCGCTCTTCCTTGATGAGCATGTCTGTAGAAGCGTTGAATGTTCACAAGATGTGGTACAAGAGGGCAGGAAGATAACGAGTGACTGAGATGCACAATGGCAAAGGCGCAAAAATAAAGAAGTTGAGGCTAGCTCCAAGAGTGCCGAAAACTAATAGTAATCAGCACGCCAGAAAAGTTTCTCAAGTGGTGAAGCGTAGACGTATAAAGCGAGTGCGAAAGAATGCTCTACAAACACACAAAAGTAGTGTATAACCCCTTTGATGCAAAGAGGGTAAAGCTAGTAAAGAGCGCCACATATAAAGGTAGAATGCTGAATGAGGAGGCGTCGAGTAGAAAGAAATAACAGGAATTAGCTTTAGTGACGTTCGGTGCTGCCCAGTGCTACAAGGCGTGGCGACGTTTCGTCAGGAGCACTGAAGACACCCGTTGATGAAATGCGACTAATCCTGGACTTTGGGATGCCCCAAAAAATAAGCAAGTAAGATTGAGAGGGACCTGAGATGACTGATCGGAACATTGACCCGAAGCATTGTGGAGATAGGTTTGCACAAGGCTTACCTACTAAGCGCAACCCTGTAGGGATGCGACGTCCTCCACTGCCGCTGCGTGCGAACCCGGCCGCTGCGCGACGCTGCGGCCGGGTTCGTCGATTTCTCCGATACGGCGCAGAAACCACGCGAGGCAGGATAACAATAACGGGTTTATTAACCCAAGATGCAGCACAGTGCGACACTCACAGGCTTGCAGGCCGTATAAGAAACTCCGCAACACCGAGCAAGTACGCTTGCCTAGGGCGCGACGACTTCCCGCACAAGGGCCGAAGTCGAACGCACGAACGAGAAGCCGCCTGCTAAGCAGTGCGTCAACCTTTCGTGGAGGCCTGAGAGCATCTGCCGCGACGAGCGAATCGTCGAGCGCAACGCAGCTCGTAGGAGAGGACGATGTCACGCGCGCGACAGATGGAAATGGCGCTGCGTTGTGAAGTAGGCCCGCGCAGTGTGCCAGCGTAGCGTGCCCGGACATGCCAGCGCGGGAAAAGAGCCGACGGTTGACTGGTCCAGACCAAGAGGCGCCCTGGCAGCCATCTTGGCGGATGCCGGCGCTTATGCGCGCCCGGGCTACGTCGTCGGCGCGCGCGCGGCAGCTGGGGAACGAGGCGCCAGGTAGGAGGGTGCTCTCGCTTCCGACAGCATGCATCCAGTGAAAAAAATCAGCCAGAATCGTGAGTGGCAGGAAGGCTAAAGTTCCTTGACTTTCACTAGCATGGTTCATGATTTGGTTGGTAATGAAGTTTGCTGTTAGTGTTGATTTTGATTTGCAATGGCCGTCTTGGTCATTTTCGCATTCTTTAAAATATGAAAATGCTCATGGCTCAAAGTTTTGCTCTAATAGATGGGTTGTGCCCCTTAAGGGGCACAACACATCGAAACATCACGTTTTTAGCGAAATTTCTCGCATTTTTGATTTTTATTGCATTGTAATCTTCAAACCTTCTTCTTTCATCTGTGAAAATTTCAAAACTAAATTCGAACCGCAAAATGCAAAAAAATGTGTATGACGGCATCGCGGTGGCTCAAAATTTTGTGAATTTGCGCCGATATTGGCCATCTTTGACTGCGCGCTGCTCCCCGTCACAGTGCCGCCCGCCATCGCGATCGGTTGGGAAAGTTGCGTCCGACTGTCTTCTTACAGCTCCGACGACCGCCAGTTTCGTACGTGAATTAAAAAAAAAAAAAGGGGCCTTTTTATCACGTGGTTTGAGCGGTTTGAAACGCGCAGCACCCTAAGCCGCATCGCCATTGGCTACCGAGTCATTGTCAGCTGTGTTGGTGGCGGCCATCAGCATTTGGTCCGTCTGCTTTTCTGCGCGTCTACGCATATTTCCGCGATGACAAGCCCGAAAAAGTGCAACGTGAGACCGCAGAAGTTTCGAACGAAGCACAAGTTTAAGGGAAGGCGGCGTAAAGCGCCCCGAACAACGACGACGAACGAGAACGCGCCTACGTGTGCTAGGCCTGACGGCGGCATCGACGCGTGCGCGAGCGACAGTGGCTGCGATGAAGAGATTGAGGCTGCGCTTTCTTTCGTCAGTGCTTCGGAAAAGAAGCTCGGCTTCTTCGAAAAAGACGAAAGACAGCGCGATGAGGTTTGTGCAACGACAGTTTTGTGCGAC